CCAGTCCTTCTGGGTGTGTGTGCATTTCAATATAGATTCAAACCCTTAATATCTGCCTTACCTCAGATGCTGGTGAAGTGATGAGGTTGAAATATGTTATACAGTATACATGGTCTGTCTTCCTGATGCAACCTGTGGGAACATGCTGTGCTCAAGGACACAGTGAAGGGACGTTCACACTGACAGCGATTTGCAGCGACAATGCAACCCTAAGTCATTAATTTTCAGTGAGAGTTGGAGATTCAAGTGTCAAGAGTGACAGAGACCGCTGGCGATTTAAGAAAATTGGGTAGAGTTCAACATCTTAGAAATCTGCAGTGATGTGATGTAGCAACTGTTAGCGGTAGTTCAAATAGTGAACCTCACATGATCTGCTACCTGATTCACTGGGTTTGGCACAGATTATGTTGGGTTTTATGGCAAATGTAATTTGAATTCATACTATTTAAGGGCAAATTCTGAAAATTCTGTCATCATTAATCACCCTCATGTTATTCCAAACCTTCCAAACGTAGAAGTTTATTTGAAAAATGTCTTGGTGTATTTTTTTCACTATGTGATGAAAGTCAGTGATGTCTAATGTTGTTTTGGACCCCATTGACATTCATTGTATGTTGAAACATTCTTCAGAATATCTTCTTTATTGTTATGCAGAATAATGAAAGTCATACAGGTTTGGAACAGCATGAGGGTGAGTAAATGATGACAGAATTTTCATTTGTGGATTAACTATCCTTTCAAAACACCACACATACAAATTACAATACACTATCCAAACAAAGCATCTCAATAAAGTCTGCGATTCAGTTTATGGTGGGTTATTTTCTCTTTCCTCTGGCTGGCCTAGTTTCTCTTATCTTAAGAAATAGATTGTGAGGTCAGGGATCAGATAAAGTAGAAGAGATCTTTTTCTCTCTTTGTGGTGGGACAGTAAGATGAATAAGTGCAGGGCCCCTCAGGGTAGGCATTAGAATAACCTCTTCAGTCTTGTGAGACAGTGTGTTCTTGTTGCATAAATTTCCTGTATAATCATCACTTACTATTGTAGTGATGTGCATAATGGAGTTAAGAGATAATGATAGGTTTTACAGGCTGAAAGGAGAAGTTGTCTTGGAATTTGTGCCCTTCAATGTGAGATTGTCACATTAGAAAACGTTTACTTTGCAACATTACTAGATAAATTATGTCTTCAGTAATAGGGCGAGACAGTGACCACACACTTTTGAATTCATGCATACTCCTGAGTTATGCACACTAGAAGATCTAACAGCTGGATTTGCCAGTTTGCAAAGTTTGTTGCTTTAAATGTTTATTAGATATTCAAAGACTTGTTTAAAAATGTGTGTTTGCTGAATGCTGAATGAATAAAGTATTATGTCATTTGCCTTTCAGTTATTAGAGAAAACTGTTAAAACAATGGCATTAAACTAATAGAGACCTGAAGCTCCTGTGTGTCCAAGCTCGCTCAGGTGTTGGGTTCTTTGTACTTTCAAAATGAAAGTGACTTACAACACTTAAGCCAAACAGAAAAAAAATAATCGGCCAGTGCTGATAATTAAAAATGCTAAATATTAACAACAGATTGGCTGATACAATGGTTGATCACTAATATTGGTTTTTAATTTTTAAGAGTTGAATGTGGGGCCACCTTCATTCAGTATTAAATAACTCTTTTATCCTGGTTTGTTTGCTGCAGTTCTCTGATTGGCAGCACGTTCCCCTGAGGATTCAAGGGTAGTGTAGTTTTTCAACTGGAATTTCCACTGTAGCAATTGAAATGTGATTTTTCATAAATAAAGACATTTATTAAAATTATTTGATAAATAAATAACTCATGAATAACCATTGTTACAGTTTTTACTGTTATTTTTATTTTACCATGAGGAAAACAACTCGACAGTATAATGACAGTATAAAAATGCAAAAAGGTTTGTGTCTGTGTTTAGGTTTTAGGAGACAGAAAATATCATTAACTCCGCATAAAAACAAGTCAATCCAAAATAATGGAAAACAAGCGTGTATATACAGGATCTTGTCTCCTGCCTTTGGTGGTAGACTAGTAGAGACGTTGAGCGGTGAGGCAGTAAATCGTTTGATTAGCTGATTCACCAAGGGAATCCAGGAACATTTTTGTTGCGGTGTTAACATGCACACTCACTCACTCACTCACTCACTCACTCACTCACTCACTCACTCACTCCTGCATCCCCAGGCCATTTTTTTACCTTATGCTCTGTTTACCTAGTTCTCCCCTGCTGACTGCTTCTGTTTCCTTAATTTTTGGTACTCTTTCACAACTAAAAAAAATATTGAATTGAAATGAATAATTTACAAAAAATAATTGAAATGCTTGTGCTGTACCAATAGGAAGGAAACAGTTTAAATGTTTTTGTATAATATTTGCCTTAACCATGAGTATACTTGCATCAAACATGTCTTAGGTCGACATGCTGCCTTTGTTTGCACCTGACATTAAAGAAGAAATTAAAGGGATAGTTCACCCAAAAATGTAAATTCTGTCATTAATTACTCACCCTCGTTCCAAACCCCTAAGACCTTTGTTCATCTTTGGAACAAATTAAGATATTTTTGCTGAAATCCGAGAGCTTTCTGACCCTGCATAGACAGCAAAGTAACTGAAATGTTCCCAGACCCAGAAACTTATAAAAGGTCTGAACGAAGGTCTTGCGGGTTTGAAACGACATGAGGGTGAGTAATTAATGAAAGAATTTTCATTTTTGGGTCAACTGTCCCTTTAATGCAGTCAATATGTTTCATGCCTTTGAGCATGTATCTCAGTGTTTTGTGTTTCTTTGCTGTTTTGAACGCATCCTGCGTACTGCGTATTCTCCAGTGCCCAACCGGCTCCCTGGGAAAGTCTCATGCAGAAGTAATCATGTTTTTGTGCCGAAGGCTAAACGCTTGAGAAATGCGGGGGCTCCTGTGATCGACGACTGTCAATGGGAGCGTGAAGGGAGAGACTGACGTGAGACAGGAGAGGATGGTGGAGAATGGAAACAAAGGACCAGCGTTGCATGTACGTGTGGTTGGAATGTACGTAAGCGATAGCAGGCATGAAAAATTCAGACTGTGAAGGGATGATGGGAACAGATAAAGAAAATGCACTCTTTGAGCCTGGATCAATCGTGAAGTTGTGGGATTAAGGCTGATCTGCCTTCTAAATGTTATCTGGAGCTCAGGCACGGACTTGAACCCGTCTTTAAGAGAGAACAATGCCTCTGTGTCTCTTCCAGCGCAGACAGAGTGAAGACAGAGCCAGAAGTCTTACCAAGCAGACATGGAGGCTCTGCTGAAACCAAGAACTGTTTGTACAAAATACTTGATTCATCCAACAGTATGTTTCTGGAAAACTGTCAGCTGTGCCCAAGGCCAATCCATCTTTTTCATTCAGTACTGTGTTGATAAGGGATCAGAATGTTCCATCTTACAGTTTGACTCCTTTCCTGCTTAGCAATTGTAATTCATCCTATTAATTAAGCATCATAATGAATTAAAACATTTCCATAGGATTCCCTACAGGTCGTGTTCTCCAACACATAGCACTGCCATCTGTCCGTCTATCTGTCTATTTGTCTGTCTCTCTGTCTGGCTGTCTGTCATGACTCTGCTCTTGGCCTTCAGAGCTCACAGGTTTAATAAGGGAAAGATTCTTTTTGTTTGTTTATTTTTTGTTTTTGCCTTTTACAGTTACTGCTTAACAAGGACACAAACATCCTTGCAGTGTAAAGGAGGGATATGGGGATATGAAACAGAAGACATGCGCACTGTGCTGTTTTTGTCCTTGCTGACTCTCTTTTGTCTTTGCAGGCTATTATCATTTGGACTCATCCACAAGACTGCCTTTTGTCAAATAAATGCACATAGTCTTATTACAAACATCTGTTCTTAATTAGTATTTTTGTCTAATAACAATGTGTAAACCTATTTACATAAACCATAGTTTGCATATGATATTAAGACTTGATATATCAACATTGAATTAAGTTTATTCTTAACTCCTTTGATAAATTATGTTTCAAGGATGTTTAGATATTTTTAATGGGAAAACAAAATGAAAATACCCGTTAAGGAAATTATTTTTGCAGAGTAATTGTGCATCTCTGTTTTTGATTTCTGCTTTGATTTCTCTGATTTCATTAAATGTGTGATTTTTTTTATTTTATTTTATAAACCTTAACAGCTGTCTGTGCATGTGATCTTGCTGTGTGCTCTGAGGATTCAAGGGCCTCTAACTGTCTGAAATTGAGAAATGTGCCTAAATGAAGACTGCACCTGTCTCGGGGTCTCTCATCATGGTTGCTACCTGACGGAAAAAATAAGAAAAACAGCTTTCCCTGCTTCAGTAGAATACAGCACCCTTAAAAAACACACGTTTCTGTCAAATCGTGCCTTTTTAGGGCTCTGGCTCTAAATACAGCTCACCTTAAGTTAGTGTGGAGAAGTGTGTGAGTGCAGAAATGTCTCCCTGTGAGCACATACTTCATAGAAAATCAATTTCATAGGTTAGGACACCATTACTGCTGGGTCCCAAAAGGTTTTTTAAAAACAATAGCACAAGTGAATTCACTCACTGGGGAGGAAAAAGATGCTTAGACACGCCATAGTCTGTATTTTTATTATGAACGTTTTTTAGTGGTGTAAACTATAAACACAGGCTTATATGCTTCTAGTTTGGTTGCCATCTGCATTTTTAGCCTCAATATGACTCTTTATGCAAGACATGATGTCTCTGCCTAATTATAGATAGGAGTCCTTCCAAAAACACAACATAAACATCTGTTTCTCTAATTGGCTCTCTGCCTCTTTCTCCCTCTTTTTTTCTCCTTCCATCATTCTTACAGTACTTAGTTTTGTTTATTGTAACTTCCTCTGTGTTTTCTAGGCTATGCAGACAGGAGCTGATGTTTATCCCACGGATCTACTGGACAGCACATACCCATGATGACATCATCTCCCACAAATCCCCCACTTCTTTCTATGTGGATTAAAGTCTACAGCAAGGAAACTAGAGCTTAAACAGCTGGGATTTTTCCTATGTTCCTGACATCTGTAGGAAATTAGACCTGGGCGTCTGTCTTTTCTCTTTACATGGACGAAAAGCCAAGGAAAGTGTACTAAAAGCTGACTGACAGGATTAATTTTACTTACAAAACTGCCCCTTTATCTTTAAACCCAAAGAAGAGCTTGATGGTGTCATATGATATGGACTAATTGTACTCGGTGAGAGCGCCCAGCGGCAGCACTTTTGCTCCAGATGAAACTGATGTTTTTCTGCATAATTTTTAGTCAGTCTGGAGCCGTTAGCCCTCCTGCACTGTGTGTCGTAGCATGTGGCTTGGGCTCAACATCCACAGCATCTTAATTACACAGCCAAACCGATTTAGACCACGGAGGAAGCATCTCTACATCTGGAGATACGCTGCCATTTTTTAGAGGGATGCACAGAGACATCTGATCTGCTTTCCTCACGTTTTTTGTTCTCTTTACCTATGCGATTTCCTAAAAGAAGCGCAAGAGATCCCACTCTCTTTCACACGTGCACCTAGTAAGTTTTTGAGTGTAACGTCTGTAACCTTTCTAGTGCTTCTTTTTCTCTCCTCCACTGACATCCCATTCACACATCCAGCCATAATGAAGCCTTTAATTAATGAGGCACAGGTTCAAATTAGCCTGCTTCAGTGACTATCCAGGGCCGCTGGTCCCTGCAGACGCAGTGACCTTTGGAGAGGTCCAGACTGCTGCTCTGTGGCCAAACACCTTCACACACACACACACACACACACACACGTACATCTACCCTTGAGCCCCTGGCAGTAAATAGTGAATGGTAAATGTCAGCGCTCTGGCCATTGAATTATACGGTTTATTTGAATAAGTGTAAGAGCGGATCAGATGAGCACCACAAGCTCCACCAACAGCTTGCCTCCGTCCACACATCAGCTTTCGGCAAGCTGGGAATTTTCTCTTTGATTAGCGAGATTATATTGTCTTTTATCTTGTGCTTGCTCTGTTACTGTCTCTCTTTTCCTGTTCCTTGCAGCGGCAGTCATGAGGGTCGCACCGACACATTTGGCAGGACAACAGAGCGGCATTCCACGTGGATAAATTAGTTTATTTCGTGTCGGGGTTACACATTCTTGCCATATATTTTTACAACTGCACGGCTCGTGGAACACGACAGGAAAGACTTAAAAGGGCCTGATGCACCTTTTAAGAGCAGCAACAAAAATGAATAAATCATCAAGAGGGAGTGAGGGCTAGTTCTTCACAGACAGCGCTGAAGGAAACGCTCTTCTCCCTCTACCAGCGAGAGAGGTCTCTGGCAGACTGACAGTTGCAGCCTCTCTAGCCTGGTGGATCGTTGATGCATTTGCCTTGAGTTTCGCGTTCCTCGGCCCTCCCCCTCCGTGCCTGTGTCATGCTCTGTTGCTGGCGTGCCGTCCTGGAGCCATGCCCATCCCCGAGATGGCTTTGAGCCCGGTGAAGTCTCTGTACTGGGAGGTGTTCCCCTCCATGGCCACGCAGCGTGTGTACTGCACGCCTGTGCTCTGGGCCGGACGCCTCTATGTGCTGGGGGGCTGCAGCGAGAACGGCCTCCCTCTGGACTCAGCCGAGGTGCTGGATCTGGAGAGCCAGCGCTGGTGCGAGCTGCCCTCTCTCCCCACCGCACGGGCCGGGGCGTCTGCCGTGGTTGTCGGAGACCAGCTGATGGTCATGGGAGGCATGGATGCACAGCAGAGCCCGCTGGCCTCGGTGGAAGTGTATCACCCTGATGAGGGCAAGTGGGAGAGGAAGACGGGACTGGGGCAGCCCTCCATGGGGATCACCACACTGGAGAAAGGTAAGAACAGTGTTTCCTTCTTTGTTGAAAAGACTGCACTGGTCAATTTTTTTTAATTATTGTTACACTGCAAAAAAGTTTTTCCAATTAAAAACAAAGTCTAAAAACTTGAAGCAAAATTGTATAAGATATTAAAAGACATGTTTTCAGAGAATATGCCATTAATTATGCTTATTTTTCTTACCCTGTTGTCAAATTAGGCATGAACCTCACTAAATATTGTTTGTTTATGCCTAATTTGATAATGGGGTAAGAAAAATGAACTTAATTAATTGCATTTTCTCTAAAAAATAAGTCTTAGTATTTTTTGCTAGTTTGCTTCTGGGGTTAATGAGAAGTAAGAGTGTCCATGAATAAAGAAAAGTGTTCATTAGTTTCAAGTGTTTCAAGTTTACCTTGATTGCACGTGATCATACACATTATTAATTCCGTATATTTTTTCCATATATATTTTTCAAGAAAAACACATTTTTACAATTATCAGGAATTATTCATTAAAAAGTGTCATTACTTTTTGGGGGAGGTGCACCACAATCTGAACTAACCTGCCTCAAAAGTCAAAATATCTAATATTTTAATGTTTTTAAAATAATATCTAATTGATCTTGGCACGCAGTCAGTCAGCATCACTCTCTGTGATGTCATTTCCTGTTTAGTTATTTCTGAATGCTAGTTACACCACTTGCTTATTTGACAGACAAATGTTTTTCAAATATTAATACTGAAGCAAAAAAATTAAATAAATTAAAGACTATTACAAAATACTTTTCAAAAATGTCATTCTTTTAATAAGGGCTTTTTTCTTTCTAGTGGTATCAGGCAGTTGTATCACCCTGATATTTTTTACTTTATGCTCCCCAACTTTAATATGGAAATTAAAAACATGCTAATCATACAAAAATATATTCTTTGTATGCTTGAATGGCATTTTTATTTATTTTTGGAATAAATTAATAAAAAGTGAAAAGTATTAGCATGTCATATTGTTCGCCAAGTAAATTGATCGCATTTTTAAGGATGTTTAGATGTTTTACTGAAAAACAAGACAATAATACTTCTTACCTAAATTGTCTTGATTAATTTCTGCTGCTCTCAGGCTAAACGGTCATTGTTTGGTTCTGAAACATCAGGAAGCAGCAGTGTGTAGAAAAACATTAGACTGTAATTGGTGAAAACAAAGTTTGGCTCCTCTCTTGTCTTTCTGCTGCCTTCCTGTCAGAGCACGATTAGCCGTATAATCTTGGCTGCTGTTATCTTTTCTACAATCACTGTGGTTGTAATGAATGTCTCTCGTAGCTGGCGCCTCTAGAGTGCTCCGAATATACCAGCTCCAAATCAAGGCATCAGTCATGCCATACTGTGACACAAAGCATTACACTGCAGAGAAAAGTATCTCCCTCCTATTTAGCTTGTGTAGGTGTGTGTTCAGGTGAGAGTTTATCCAGTTTGAGACCCTGAGGAAGAGTGTTTATTCACAGGGATTCACTTCTGCTAAGCCGCATTTCACCAGCTGAGCCGTATTCAGGCCCGGACTGATCAGTTCTGTGGATCCGTTTTAAAGCTATCAGCAGGCCGGCTAAAACAAGACCTGTATTCATGTGCCAGAGAGAGCTCATAAGCCTGTGGTTCTTTAATGAATACTTTGGTCATGATTATTAATTGATAATAATCAATTATTATTAATATTATTGTTACTTATTAATAGGCATCACAGAATAATAATAATAATAATAAATTAAATATAATTTATTCACTCTTGTGTTGTTCCAAACCTATAAGACTTTATTTCTTTCGTGAAGCAGAAGAGCAACATAAAAGTATCATAAGTATCATTTACGTTAGTAAATAATGACAGATGTTGACTTTTGGGTGAGCTGCTCCTTTAAAACAGTCTTTTGCTACTGTACCTCTATGTAAATGACCTCTGTTATGATTGACTAACCTCTCAGCATGTAAAAAGAGTAACACCATTTAATGTGGTAGGTTTGCTGTCAGGTCCAATTGATATGAATTTGTTGCCACTTTTATATGTGAAAGAACATGAACACGCTGGGGAAGGAGCTGCAGGATTGTGTAACGTGTGTTTATCCATGTGCATTAGTGTGTTAATAATTATGCCTCTGTTGTTCAGTCTCCATAAAGTTAGAGTCTCTTGTGTTCCCTTTCAGGGTGCACAAATCATACAAGAATAAAAATACCAGCATGATCCATGCCTTGCCTTATTAAAACAAGTGCATGCTAATTGCCATATGCCACCACCATGTGGCCTGATAAATTAAACTTGAAAGATATTATTATACAGCTTTCTGGAATAGTTGTTTCTTGCTGGTCAAATATTTTTGTATAATGAGTGTATGACCTCATACGCTATGCTGTAGTTTCATGTCTGTTTTCTTTCACATTATAAAATAATTTCTGATAATTTTAGTACATTAATTAATTTACTTGGCAAGCAGCCGTGTAATGTCATAATTTAATAATTTGTCATTATTGCATCAGGGTGATCGGGACCTTGACACAATTTTTTTTTTATCATCCTGAAGGGGTTTATTTTCTGACACAAGCTGCTGTGAGATCCATCTAACTTACCAGATTGTTCCTGACACAACGTTTCTTTCATTTTCGACTGACAGTCTATCACATCACCTCCTACTATCAGTGTATCATCGTAATTCATCATGTCCTTTTGTGTCACAAAAAGCATTAAGGTCCTAAAACAGGCCGTATGAAGCCATAATTTTGTTTCCAGGCCTTAGTATCAAAGACCTGTGTTTTCACCTCTCTCTCTCTCTCTTTTTGTCAGTGGTGCTTGTTCTCTTTGATATCCTTCATGTCATCTTAGGGGCAATTTGCTTTGAGGGTCCGATCTGTATTTGTATGGCTTTGAAATCCCATGTTCCTTTGCACCCCTTTGGCTTATCAGACACATTCTGTATCCAAATATCAATCAGGGTCTGAGCCAAACCATCTGGATTTTGTAAATAAGACATCCCATACTGAATTTGATCTCAATCATAAGAAAGAAGGATTTTTTTTAGCTGATGCTGTTTGTGATAAAGACAATAATAGAGACTCAAGCTTGAGAAGTGCAGCTGTGGCTGGTCAAAACCACAGAAGTCCTTATATCTTTGCTGTTAAACATGAATGTTCTGATGTGTGCTGCGGTGCGAGGACGTGTCAGAATCATGCTGACCTGTTTGTCACTTGAAGTAGATGGCTATTTAGGCAGACAAGGCCTTTTTGATTTCAGACTTATAACTGAGGGAACAGAGTGTCTCTCCAGCGCTCTGAAGGAAACACGAATGTCAGATAGGGTTGCCAACCATAACAATATGATACAGACTCATCCCGTGTTAAATCCAATGCGGGATGCAGTTTGTCTCACGGTTTTGTTTAGCTCCTGAAATATTGCTGATAACACTTTGGTATTTATGTCAATTTTGTGTCTGCATTGTAAATGACAGATTAGAATAGAAAACAAATAAAGTGATGAATGTGAAAAATAAACAGGTTTTCTGCAAGTTGGGTAAGAACACCATTACATTTGCTGTTGCTATCACACACACACACACACACACACACACACACTGTATATACTCTGTTCAAAATTTAGGGAATTTTCAGCACCATTAATCCAGTCTTCTGTGTCACATGATCCTTCAGAAATCATTCTAATATGCTGATTTGGTGTTTAAGATACATTTTTTTTTATTATTATCAATGCTAAAAACATTGAAATAGCTAAAAATGAATAGCTATTATTTAATATCAAAATATTTTGTATAACATTATAAATGTCTTTGCTCTCACTTTTGATACATTTAATGTACAGTATCATTACTGAATAAAAGTGTTAATTTCTTTTTAAAAAATCATACTGACCCCAAACTTTTGAAGGGTAATGCATGCATTTTTTGAAGGGTGAAATGTGAAGACAATTAGTCACGTTCAGTCAGTTTCTTGCATTGGTGCACATTTTTCACTGGATTTGTTACTGTGTTGTTAACTAAATTTGATATTGAATTTGTTATTGGATTTGATTTTACAAATTGATTTAATTTGGTTTTATGAATGTGAGCATGGTTGAGGACAGATTACTACGCACATAAGTACATAAGTGGTGCATCTCAATAAATTAGAATGTCGTGGAAAAGTTCATTTATTTCAGTAATTCAAGTGAAATTGTGAAACTCGTGTATTAAATAAATTAAATGCACACAGACTGAAGTAGTTTAAGTCTTTGGTTCTTTTAGGTTTTTGTTAAATGTGAGCCAAAATCATAACAATTAAAAGAACCAAAGACTTAAACTACTTCAGTCTGTGTGCATTGAATTTATTTAATACACGAGTTTCACAATTTGAGTTGAATTACTGAAATAAATGAACTTTTGCACGACATTCTAATTTATTGAGATGCACCTGTACTACGCATAATATATAATATAATTACTAGGTAGCTAAATTTATATGTGATGTGGGACACTTTTGTATGACATGAAAATCAGGAATGCACTGATTTCTGACTTACAAAATAATTGATAATTATTTGATTATAATTGATTAATAAACTGATAATTATTTTAGCTGATATTGAAAAATGCCTGAGATTAAAAATTAAATCAGATTAAATTCTGATTCTATCATCCATCCCTTCCACATACAAAAAAGTTCACATACATCTCAAAAAGCATATATAGTATATAGATGAAGGTCTTCTTAAGTTGTCCTGAAAATAAATTGTCCGTTGTTTTCTTCTGCTTAAGTTAGCAACCCTGTGACAGTGGTCTCTGTCTCTCTCTCTGACTGCTGCTATCTGTATCTCCCTCTCTACCATCCCTCTCACTTTCCTACCATCATTTGATCAAGAGAGCATTCTTGTTGCCAGGCAACAGGTGTGTAAATCTCTGTGTGTGTGTGTGTGTGTGTGTGTGTGTGTGTGTGTGTGTGTGCGTTTGTGTGTGTGTTTGACCCAGAGACATTTTTAGAACGGAACAGGCTGA